CTGTGTATTCCAACTACAATTTTAAAATAAATTTTACACACATTTTTTCATTGATTGGTTGTATTCTTCCTTTTTAAAAAATAAGACTTCATTTTTGTCAGTCCTCTTGCACTGTAAGAAACCAAAAGGTTCTAGGGGGGAGGGGTCTAAGTAGCAAATAAATTCTCAAAGCCTCCTAAATAATAATTTAGTAGGTATTCTAAAGTGTTAATCTCCCCATTTTACATAACTTTTAATATGTGAGGTTCAGTTTTTTGTTTTTAAATGGCAGCTACTATCCAGATAAGAGCACATCCTCAATCATGTCACCCCTCAACCGTTGTTTCTCCAAGCTAAAGACCCCAAGCGCTTTAACCTTTCTTCATAGGGAAAGTGTTCTAACCATTTTATCATTCTAGTTGCCCTTTTCCAAAGCTATAATATCCTTTCTAAGATGTGGTGACCAGAACTGTAGACAGTATTCCAGATGAGGTCGCAACTGTACACAGTATTCCAAATGAGTATCCGACAGTACAATCAGCTGCTAGCATAGTCTGGGTTATATCCAACTGTTTATAATTATATTAATGTTGATGTTGATGTTGATATTGGGGCCAGGGCTTCAATTATATATAGTGCATCTCCTTAATCGAAGGCCTGGTGGCTCTGTCTTGTAGGCCCTGCGGAACTGTAAAAGGTCCCGCAGGGTCCTGATGTCATCTGGGAGCTCATTCCACCAGTGCAAAGCCGCCACTGAAAAGGCCCTGGCCCTCATCACAGCCAGCCTGGCTTCTCTGGGGCCCGGCAGAGCCAGGTCATTTTGGCATCCCAATTGTAATGGCCTCCGGGGAACATGTGAGGAAAGGCAGTCCCTTAGGTATGTAGGTCCCTGACCATATAGGGCTTTAAAGGTAAGAACCAGCACCTTGAACAAAATTCAGTATGCTATGGGCAGCCAGTGCAGAGCTTTTAGCACAGACTGGATGTGCTCCCACATGGGGAGACTGAACATCAGCCTGGCCACTGCATTCTGCACCAGCTGCAGTTTCCAGATTTGGGACAAGGGGAGCCCCATGTAGAGAGCATTACAGTAATCTAATCTTGAGGTGACCATTGCATGGATCACTGTTGCCAGGTTATTGCATTTGAGGAAGGGAACCAACTTGCCTAATTAGCCAGAGATTATAAAAGGCTGACTTTGCAGCAGCTGCTACCTGGGCCTCCATCATTAAGGAGGCATCCAAGAGCACTCCCAGACTCCTAACCTCCAACACTGGCACCAACGGCACCCCATCGAAAGTTGGGAGTGGGATCCCTACCCTTGGGCCACTCCAACTCAGGCACAAGTCCTCCATCTTCATCGGATTCAATTTCAGTCGACTCAGTCTAAACCAACCACCCACAGCTTTCAATGCCAGGTCCAGATCTTCCGGCCTGGAGTCAGACTGGCCACCCAGCAACAGATAGAGCTGGGTGTCATCTGCATCCTGATGACAACCCAGCCCATTGCTCCAGGCAATCTGAGCAAGGGGGTGTATATAGATGTTAAATAACATCGGTGAAAGCACTGCACCGTGGGGCACTTTGCAGACTAGCGGGTGCCTTTTGGACAGCTGCTCCTCAATGGCTACCCTTTGTCCCCAACCCTGAAGAAGCGAGGAGAGCCACTGTAAGGCAGCTCCCTGAACCCGTGTTGGCAAGGTGGCAGGCCAGTAGTTGATGGTCAACCGTGTCAAATGTCGCTGACAGGTCTAACAACAGCAACAGAGCCAAGCTGCCCCAATCCAGATGCCTCCGAAGATCGTCTGTGAGGGCGACCAGTGCTGTCTCCGTCCTGTGGCCTGGTCGGAAGTCGGACTGCAAGGGGCCTAATGCAGAGGTGTCATCCAAAAAACACTGCAACTGAATTGCCACCTCCCTCTCAATTAATTTGCCCAAATAGGGCAGATTGGAAACCGGCCGGTAGTTAACCAATTCGGCCGAATCCAAGGATCGGGTTTTTTTCCCAAGAGAGGGCGTACCACTGTCTCCTTAAGTGCCCTAGGGAACAGCCCCTCTAAGAGGGACTTCTTCATAATTTCCCTTAGGGTATCTTGTAGCCCATCGCACGGCTATGACGAGCACGGATCAAAGCAGCAAGTGATTGGGCGAACAGTTTGAAAGTAATTTGTCAACCTCATCTAGACTAAGTGGATTGAAATAATCCAAAACTCGACAAGAAGATGTGCGTGGAGCCTCGAGTTCCCTTACTGTTTCAACTGTGGCAGGAAGGTCGTGGCAAAGCAACAGGACTTTATCTGCAAAATAGCTCGCAAAAACCTCACAGCCAATCTCCAATTCCTTAGTGTTTGGACTAGTGTTTGGAGTAGTAATGGCATGAATCGTTCTAAATAATTGGGCTGGGCGAGAGCTTACAGACACAATCATGGCCGTGTAATATTCTCTTTTTGCAGCTCTGACTGCCATCTCATAGGATCTCATATAGGATGCTCTTGTAGCTTCGTTGTGAGCATGCCATCACTATCTCTCTAGCCATCTGAGCCCTTGCTTCATCAGCTGCAGCTCCTGTGTGTACCATGGAGCGAGCCTAGAGCGAGGGCACAGAGGACATTGGGGAGCGATCACGTTGATGGCCGCCGAGAGTCAGCTGTGCTAGTCCTCAATGAAGTCATCTAGTGAACCACCAGGGGGTATCAGATCCTTCAGGGCCATCTGGAGCCGCATTGGGTCCATTTGGCTCTGCGGGCGAGCTAAAATACGCTTGCAGCCCAAACAGGGTCGGAGTGGGACATTCACGTAAGCCTTCAGGGCAGAGTGGTCTGACCATGGAACTACCATAGCAGTAATTCGGTGCACTGTAACCCCACGCTGTGAAGATCAGATCAAGCATGTGTCCCACCCGGTGAGTGGGAGCCATTACATATTGGGAGAGTCCTAGCACCGCCATGGACGACATCAGGTCCATCACCTGTGTGGAAGCCGTGTCATCGGCATGGACATTGAAATCACCCAGGACTATCAGTCTAGGGTGCTCCAATGCCCAGCCTGATACAGCCTCCAACAGGGGTGACAGGCTATTTGTCGGTGCATTGGGCAGATGGTACACCAATGAAATAGCCAAACTCTCCCCGGCTTCCCACACAAAGCCAGAATACTCTATGCCCATGAGCCTCGGTGGCAGGAGCGCCCTGAAGGTGTAAGCCTCCCGAATGAACAGTGCCACTCCCCCCCCCCCCCCCCCCGGCATAGCCGAGATCCGTTGTCAGTGTGGAGCTCTGATATATTCTTTTTCTGTTTTTGCTGGTGTGACCGCCTGGGTATGTGTTGTCTTTGAGATCTTGATTCTTTTGAGCGGAGAGCTATATATAGCTCCAACAGGAAGTCACGAAGGACCATGCTCTTATTGTTTTTGGACCTAGCGTTGCACAACATCAGTGTTGGAGAGGGGTCATTAATCGTAGCCCCATTACCTACTAAGTTCGGGATGGGACGCAGGCTGGAAGATAGAATCCTACTAAAGAAATAACTGAAGAACTTTCGTTTAAGATGTTATATGAATAATGATATCATCCACTGACAACTGCATTAATCTTTGAAAAGGAAATAAAGATGCAGATATTACATATGATGCCTTTCCATACATTTTCATTTGTTGTTTTAGAAGACCCACTAATAATATACTTTGCCCTGTCATTGGTAATTAAACTGCCTCAATTTCTGCTCTTGTTTTCTAATTTGCTGAAAGCTGTGATGTTATAGCTGAAAACAGAAACAAAGTGGTAGTTTGTATCTACCTAATCTATTATCAAAGTACATTACTTTATTGTTCTATTTATTTAAATTTCCCCCCCTACATTCGCAAGGACTACATATTGTTAAATAAATAGTGGGTATTTTCATTTTAGCAAATGGTAAAGGATTTTGTTGGAATGTGAGCAGCTATTGGAAACATAATAACTGAATTTTTTTTTCAACAGTAACAGCCATTTTGGCTGCTGGACCATGGCTAATGTTTACTTTAAAGAGTATATCTTCTTAATGCAAATCATTTGGTATTTTGTGCTTCCTCTAAGTCACTTCATGTATTTCTGAAATTGGTGGTGGCCTTTTAAAGGAAAATTTTGGTATCAATCATCTGTTGATGGCTGTCTTAAATAACATTTAGAGTCAAAACAATGAAATGAAAATGCTAAAGAAAAGTTAAACTTGGATACTTATGTGTTTTTCAGTCATTATAGTTCTAGCATTTTCCCTCTGGTCACATTTACATAGGAAATTTCTAGGCCACCTTTCTGTTTGTGGAATGCTGAAAGTGGATGCAGAATAATAGACAGTTCTCCAACACCTCCCCGCTGTCCTTGCCCAAGGGTCCCTGATAGGTGGGGGGGGGATCTGCTTGTGTGAAGGGGGGTTCACTTGGCCCCTTCCCTCCTATCATGTGGCGTAGGTTGCCACCAGTCAAACTCTGGATGTAAAATTCAAAAAAGAACACTTAGTTGCAAAACTCAAAACTACAAGCACAGTGACCATTCAAAACACCTATAACTTTGTCATGTTAAATCCTGGTTTTAACACAGTTAAATTGTTAAATTCTAATTCAGCAAACATTTATGGTACAATACATCTGTTAAATTTTGAGATGCCACAAAGCTCCTTTTTGTTTGTAAGGAAGGAAATGCACCCTACAGTATAGTTAAGATCTGTTATAATAAATTAGTATATTTCATATTAAATAAATTTCACAAAAATAAAGTTATATCCAAGCAAGTTGCAGGTTGATTTTTCCTGAATCCATATTGTTCTGTTTGCAAAGTAATGGGGGGGGGGGGGGGGGGGGGCTGCTTTTGGGGGGGGGGGGGGGGGGGGGGGGGAGTGGGTTGTCTGGGCTTTTCTGAACTCTGTGTGATGGCCTTTGCCTAAAAATCATAACCTGCTTTGCCAGTAGAATTGCATTAATAGTATGCTATAGTGTAATTAATCTAGATTAACATATCTGGAAAAAACTTGTTATTTTTCCACAGGGGATGATGAACAGTCCACAGAGATGACTACCAGCTGGGAGGATGAGAAAGTGACTGAGGCAGTGGCAGATGGCTTTGTGGCTATTAAAATTGATATTGAAAGGTTTGGCAACTTCTGCTGCTGTTTTTGCTTCTCAGTAATAATTTACTCTTTAAAATACCACTCTGTGTTCAAGACATAGTTGTTCTGGAGAGACCTTGCATTTAGAGAACTTAAAAAAAATATAAGTGAGTGCTAAGAAAACGCAACTATTACTATGCATTTACATAATTCTAGTTCATGCCTTCTATTGTATTATTGTCATCCCAAAATGGTTGGGGCCATGGCACAGGAGTAAAGCAGCTGCTTGCAGGTGAAGGTCCCACGTTAAGTCACTAGCATGTCCAATGAAAGGATCTCTTTTCTACCTGACATTATTGAGAGTCATTGCCAGTCATTAGACCGTGCTGAGCTGAATGGATTTTGGCCCCGAGTAGCTTCATATGTTCAAAGAATAATGTCTTGCTGATACTTCTCTTACTATTTGAAAAGTTAAAAAAAACAATAATACAATGTCCCAGCTACACATTACAAACAAAAGTGCATCTGTAGCCATGTGATCTTTTTATTCTGCAAAAAGCTATATCAGGAGGTGATAATTGAGATCAGAGAAACAGAAGCAAAGTGCTTAACATTTTGCAGTGTTTCTCCAGTCCGTATCATGCCTTCTTCCCAGCAAAGAAGAAAAGATGCTCAACAGCAGTTTGGACCAGAGCAACTGCGAGAACAGTTTAAGTCCTCTCCCATTACTACTTTGCTTTGCTTTTAATGACCCTTTTCCTACACAACTTTATCAGGAAAAAGAAGTATTAACAGTATACATAGAATATATAGTTTGGCCCTCTAATGAAATGCATTTGTCCCTTCCGCTGGATAGAGTCGTAATATGATTTTGTAGGACATGGTCAGTGAAACTTTTAAAAGGATGAAAATTCATATAGCCCAATTTCCTTTCACTAATTCCGTAGAAAAAGAAGCACATGGTTATATGTAGTATAAAAAAGGTAAAGGTTTCCCTTGCTCGAAAGCCAGTCGAATCCGACTCTAAGGGACGGTGCTCATCTCCATTTCCAAGCTGAAGAACCAGCGCTGTCTGAAGAAATTTCTGTGGTCATGTGGCCAGCATGTTAAATGCTGAGGCACATGGAACACTGTTACCTTCCCACCAAAGCGGTACCCAGGGCTATTTTTGGACAGGAACGCACAGGAACGGAGTTCCAGCTGGCTCCTGAGTTGGCCACACCCAGCAGGAACTCATTAGCATAATAGGCCACACCCAACAGCAGAAACTCATTAGGATTGGTTACAGTAGGCGTGTGTGGCCTAACATGCAAAGGAGTCCCTGCTACAAAAAAAGACCCTGGGTTTTGACAATAAACAAGGTAAACAGAATAAGAAGCAAAAAGGTGGGTGTGGCTAGATGACCACACTTTTGGCAACACGGGGCTGTGGCCTAATATGCTAATGAGTTGTGGTGTCAGGGTGTGGCCTGTTATGCTAATGAGTTCCTGCTGGGCTTTTTCTACAAAAAAAGCCCTGGCGGTACCTGTTTATCTACTTGCAATTTCTTGCTTTTGAACTGCTTGGTTGGCAGGAGCTGGGGCCAGAGATGGGAGCTCACTCTGTCACACGGCACTAGGGTCTCAAACTGCTGAACTACAGACCTTCCGGTCTGGCAGCTCAGCATCTTAACCTCTGAGCCACCGCAGCCCTTTATATGTAGCATACGTTCCTTTAAATCCTAGAGTTCTCAAAGTATGGTATAAATCCACTGCCGTGGTTAATAAGAAACAGAAACTAACTCCTTATGATCTCAGAAAGATTGTTCAAGTTTTGTGTGTAATGGTATGATAATTTTATGACATTTTGGAATATTAGTCTTTGGTAATCTAGTACTCTCTTTTACACAGTGAAGCCTGCCTGCAGTTCTCACAAATCTGTATCCTTTGAGTAGAGTTTTAAAAATAAGCATTTTATAGTAGGAATGATCAATAATAACAGGCTGATAACTATGTGACTGGCACAACATCATCTAGTGAGGTTCCATGGCAGACTGGTGATTTAAACCTGGGTCTCCCAGCTCCTACGCTGAAGCTCTAACTGCTGCACCACAGTGTCTTTAATAGGGTTACTGCTGTTGAATGGTAGCAAGTGGCCAAGCCTCGGTGAATCATGCAGTCGGGTAATATCATGTCACCCAGTAGTTGCTGCTAGGCCTAGGTCCTCCCTCAAAGACCAAAGTCCTCCTTCAAGTCCTCCCTCAAAGACCAAAGCAGCCCTGGAAAGTGTCCTGCCCCTTCCCCCTACCTTTTACTGACAGAAATCATGACTAGAATGCTGTGCTTCCCTAGCAACTGCCACCAAGGGCTTCTGGGTTTTTTTAAGCTACAGACATTCCTTTTATCATTTTGGTGTGGTTTTTTTTTTAAAATCCCTCAAGGTATTGCTTTTTAGGTTTCAGATTTTTCTGCAAACCTTGGGCATTTTTCAGGTTTGTAGAAAGAATTGTCATATCCATTCACAGTCCCAGTCGCTGGATTTAAGTATCAGATTTGGCTGACGTACCAATTAGAATATACACGAGTAGGGACCTGCGAGAAACTTGTGGGGAGGGTGCATCCCACTCACCACCCACCTTTGCTCCCTTTCCTCCCCCCCTCCTCAAATAATCTTCCAACCCCTCTTTCTCTTCTCTTTCCCTTCCCTGGCAGTCTTTCCCCCTCTATTTCTTTCCCTCTCCTTGACCCCCCTCTCTTTCTCTCCCACTTCTTCATCAACCTCTCCCCATATTTCTTTCCTTTCCCCTTTGCTATTTACCCCCTCTTCTACCCACCTTTTCTGTCAATATTCGCCTTCTCTCTTTCTCCGTTCCTTACTTTGGCCTCTTCAGCTGCAGCATAAGCAGCAGGGCTGTTGGGAGCCACTGCATAGGCTTTGCAAGTGAGTATTCTGCACATGCACAGATAAAGTTATTGTTCTATGGCAGTGTTAAACCCACACTATATGGTTTTTTAACTTTTAAGATTTTTTCACAAACCTGGGTGGGCCCCCAAGTTTGGAGAAAAATCTCTTTGTTCTCTCAGTGTGGGCCCGATCCACAGAGTTAGATATTTGCAGATATGCTCACACTTCAGAAATAGACATATAGATTGTATTTTTTTCTTTTCCAGTTTACTTTGGTGCAGTGTTATAAATGCAGTCTGTATGTACACACACATATCATCATCATCATTGTCATAGTATTATTGTAGTTGTAGTTGTCCTTTTGATTTGTTAATTGCCCAATCCCAGCTTACACTGAGCTCTGAGTGATGTACAAGGGGGCCATAATGCCATAAAAGTATACAAAATATCGTCCTTAACTATTACTGTATAGATCCTGTAGTGTGTGTTCCATCCAGTTTCTTTATAGGAGACAATGGAATCCCTTTGGAAGTAATTGCTGGCAGTGTTTCTGCAGAGGAACTTATTACAAGAATTAATAAAGTCAAACAGGTAATCAATGACAGATCTGCTTTTACAATATAGTGAACTATGTGTAAAAAATGCTTTCATGTTTAATTTGTACAAGTCAGAGTTTAATTTGTATAAGTCAGAATTTAATTTGTACAAGTCAGCCTAGCTGACGGTAATTATGCCCATTGGATTACTGAAACCTCTGATCTGATCTGGCTTGCTATATGGAAGTATTTTTAATGTCATGGATGTTTTGCTTAGCTACAGGTTTAAATAGCTGAACTGGGTATTCATCAAATTTATCAACACTGGAAGTTAAATAAAGCTTGATTTCAATTATAGGGAGACATGAAGAATTGTAGCTTCTTGTAACCAATGCTAGGCAGTTTTGTCCTCTATATATCTGGGCTTGTTGCCTGTTTTCATTTTGTTGTAATAATTATTTATTCTACCTTTCTATTCCTGCTTTATTGCCCATTGTTTTCATTAACCCATTTTAATTTGCTTTCTTTTTATTGGTCATTAACGAGTAGATATACGGGAATTCATTGGGATCAGGTGTTATGTCCTTGTGGAACTCAGATTTAAGAATATTTTTATATACTTCATGCTAAACTATGACAGCTGCTGTTATGGCCACCTGTCCAGATCGCTATGTAGATTATGATTTAACTAAATCCTCTTTCAGGAAATGGCAAAGAACAGTGGAAACTTTGTGCCAAAATCTTGAAATCACTCAGATATATTAGATTTCTGTGGAGCTCAGAATTATTTTTAGTGGTAGTTATATATGATAATTTCATTACTTGTGTGTATTTTAAAATATCAAAATAATATTTTATTATTGGGTTATGTATTGAAGTTTAATTGTGTTGTAGAAAGAGACTGAAATGTACCAACATGAGGGAAGGACTTGTGCTAGAGGGCTAAAATATTATTCTTGGAGTGGGGCTATGTAGGTGAGCTTTGTTTTCAGTCTCTGAAACAAAATGTGTTAATTTCCCAGCCCCTTTAGTTTATTGGGAATAGATGAGTCATAGGTGGGGTAATAACCACTTCTAATTAGTTATAAATCCTAGTCTGAAATTGCAATTCCTTAATTTGTGTTGCATTATCTCCAGTACCCACTAGGGGTGCGTGCTCGGTATAAACCGAGCCAAAAAATACCCAATAAATATCTTATCAGTATTTATCGGCTATTTTCTTAGCTGGTTACCAAGTGAACCGACTGATTTGGCTATCTGAAAATGGCCACCCCGAAAAAATTCCAAAAATAGTCGAGATTTTTTGGGACCACCAGATAACCATAGTTAAAGCATTTAATGAGCTCTCAGTTCCTTTAAATGTCTTCAGGGTGAAATCTCAGTTTGGAGAAGGCATTTATAGGGACTGCAGTCCCTTTAAATGCCTTTTTTCTCCTCCATTGGAAATAGTGGAGGATGAGGACAGCTCTGTTGGGCAGTCCAGGGTGGTGCGAAGCTCTCTGCTCCTGTTGCCCCAGCTGATCCTCTCTCTTTTTCTTCTCAGGTCCTTTGGACCCCCCAAAAATTGGGAATTCCCAATATTTACTGAATCTGAATACCATACTGGTATTGGGATTTGGGAATATCGGGAAATACCAATGTTTTTTGGATTCAATATACCTGAATCAAAAAAATACCGTTGTGGGGGTGGGGTTGCACATCCCTAGTACCTTCAGCTGACAACTTTATGACCATTCCACAGAGCTCTGGCAGACTACTAATATATTTGTAATTAAAAAGAAATTTTCTGTCTGGTCAGAAGCTGAAAACCCTATCACCTCCTCTAGCACTTAGTGAAAATTTTCCAAATACCAGAAAATTTTCTTAGGGGCCAGGGGTTTTTACTAAGTGTCAGGGACAACTAACACTTACAAGACTTTTCCTGTGTACACTTTTGGAATGTTGTGTTTTAGCAAGCTTGGCAATGTACTTAGGGAGGCCATGGACAAAAAATTGTTTCTAAATGGTGAGACTGCATTCTTATGGCATTTGCTGTATAGGGTGACTTAGCTGAAAGTAAGCCCTGCTGATTACCATTTGTTGATGCATCTAGATGAGAAACTGGCAACTCATGTTTGGATCTCCTGTCTCTTTAAATTATTATTAATGCCCATTACCCATGGGTGTTGAATGGCTACACACACAGGGTTTACCCAGTGTAACTCACCCTCCCCCATTGCCCATTTGCCTTGATGGTGAAAATAAAATGATCTCACATCTTATTTCTAATTCAGGCTGTCCAACTAACTGCCATTAATACCCCTTTTAAGATACAGCCGTTCCAATCTTGACTCTCCAGTGTCTCATCTAATTTGTCCCTAATTTTACCACTTGGAGACTAGACAGAATGGGATATAAATTTTGTCCTCAAAAAGTTAGCAACTATTTTACTCTTCACCAAAAAAGCAATGTTCCTGAATTACAAACTTCTGTGCATACTTCTTTTTTTCTTTAGATGCACATGTTAAAAAATGAAGTATTAGAAAGTCCTGCATCATGTTCATCCTCTCTGTATAATGTCACAGATGATTCTGGATCACAAACATCTCAGCCTATTGGAGCACAGCCTGAAAGCCTGCATGTATTTTCAGCTTGTAAGTAATAGTAGTTAATAAAGTGGCTTTTAAAATATTTCAACTTTCTTAAAATCAATATGTAATCTAAACGGTATTACAGCACTATTAATTCAACTGCTCACTTAGCTGTAACAAATCATTCTCATGTGTCCTCCTTTGCTGTTTTCACTAACATACACCCTTCCTCCTTCATACTTTTGCCTGTCCCCACTATGCTGCTCCTTCATCTAGAAAGAGTACTTCAGAGCTGCATCTCCTGCTCTTAGAGGACCATGAGCACAACAGAGCGAGAACTGACACCATGATGAATAGGGTGGACAGCAGGTCACCAGTGTATTAATTATGTATGGGCATTTGTGGCAATGTCAACTATGGGCCCGATTATACATTATTTTTTAAAATGTGTTAACACTAGGTCAGGGGAGCTACTTTTTAAAGTAAAGCAAGGGCCCAGTTTGGCTCAGGCCCATGGCATGAGGGAAGGAGGGGCTTCTGCCTTCCCCCACGCCATTTCTCTTGAGTTTATACTACCTGGGGACATTATACTGCGTGGGCAGCTTCAGAGAGAGCAGAGCAGTGTCATCAGCGTAAAGCAGAACTGGAATATTGCAATTGGCCAAATGGGGTGGATGACAAAACTCATTAAAGAAAGTCAGAAGATCATTCATGTATAGGTTGAACAAAAAAGGGGCCAAAAGGCAGCCCTGCCTAATCCCTTTATCAAGGTTAAATGGCTCAGTCATATTTTTTTAATATTAAAAAAATGGCTTAGTCAGCTCACCACCATAGCCACAGCAGATCTGAGCTGTAAGGTCCACTTGAGGCTGCTGCATGAACCATAGCAGCCTTTTATCAATTGTGGTGTGTTGCAGCTTTTCTCAGAGACTTGTTCTAGGTATGGTATGAAAAGCCCCTTTCATATCAGTGAATCCTACGTAAAGGGTGCCATTTGGGAAATTGGTTGGGTTTTTTCTATCAGAAGATATAGAACAAGACAATGGTCCAAGGCTGAACTACCCCTCTGAACCCTATCTGCTCCTGGCCCAGAATATCACCCTGTTCAAGCCACTCAGTTAAGGCATCTAGCAAATATGAAGAATAAAGTTGCACGAGCAAGATAATAAACTGATTGGAGGATAGCAGCTTGGGTCTGAGCCTTGACCCTTCTGAAGATAGGAACTATTATTGTGTGCCTCCAAAATTTTGGGGTGACCCCAAACATGTTTGTTTGAGAAAACAGCAGAGCTAGGATCTCTGCCTACCAAGATGGATTTAATTTGAATAATTCATTTGGGATAAGGTCTGCTCCAGGGGCCTTCCCTGAACGGAGGCAGTGGATCAAGCCTTCTTTTAAAAAAAAAATATTATACAATTACAAATGATTTAAAGAAAAAAAATTACATCAATAGGATACAAAAAATCAAAATAACACATTAAATAGATAAGAAAATTAAACGGGATAAGAGCCGATAATTAATATATTGGTCGGTAGTAATCTAATAACCTCAGCATAGGAGCATAAAAGTCAACAACAAGGAGATAAACTGCCAAGTACTAAAACATTATCATTATGCCAGAAAGTTAGCATTTTTTGATATTCAGCATTATTAGGAATGATTTCACGTGAAGCAAAATATGACAAGACTGGGAACCAGATTTCTGTAAAATCGGAGCGATCTCCCCTTAATGTGTTATGTTTGTGACTTTCTGCTATTTTGCCCATTATGAATTGGTCCCATATTTTCTCAAGATCAATGCTTCCATCCATTCCAGTGTCCATATTAATAATTGCCCCAAATGAAGAGGTGTCATTAGTTTTTACAGCCAAAAGTAAACATCCCCAGTTCTTACATAAGTTTTCCTGTAGTATCTCTTAAAGGACAAGAATTCCCTCAGAACAGGTACAGTATTATTGCTCTTTAGCTCCCTATGTTTTTGTTGTAGTTCACTTTTAATAAGCCTGCACTCTTTATCAAATCATGTACCAAAATTCTTGGGAACCAGGGATCTCACAAAAGGAGCACAATCAGGGATAATTTTAGAGTACAAGGGCTTGAAGAAGGACAATAGCCTATACATGATATTGAGAGAGCGCTTAGCTCCATCAGACCCAAGTAATGATCTCCTTAAAGATAACGCTTCTGGAGAGGCCATCATATCTTGGGCCAAGCAAGTAGCATTGTCATTCCAGCGGATGCAACATAGGGAGTTTTGATTCTAGAATGTACAGTCTTGCCTGATTACAGAGAGTTTGGCATAAGGCATATTCATGTACAAAACAATAGGGAGATGATCACTGCCTCAAAAGGATGAAATGCCCAGGAAGCAGCAATGATTTATTTATTTATTTATTTATTATGGGATTTGTATCCCGCCCTACCGAAGAAACAATTAAATAAGCCATAACACTTAGCTCCCTTGAAACCCAAGAAGGTATAATCCCGACTTGGATTGACTTGGATCAAAATTACTAAATTCATTTGGCTAGCAAAAGTGGCCAACCTCAAGCTGTTGGCATTTATTACAACATCTTTCAATGACCGACAAAACGACTGGGGTCTAAGGAAATTTTCATTGTTAGGACCATACAGTTTTTGGATTAAATTATCATTGTCAGTCCCTATTCTTGCATTAAAATTGCCTGCTAGGAGCAATGAATTGTTTGGGAAGTTGCTTTTAGTTTTATTGAATATTTCATCCAACAAGGCCCAGTTATCATTCAATTCATGTGAAGTTGCAGGTGGCATAAATAAAGTGAATAAATTTATAGAATGGGACCCCAGTATTGACTACTAAAACAAAATCCTGTGCCATTTCAAAATCATGGATGGAGATGCCCCAGAGGGATAATATGTTGCCAGGATAGTATGTCTCCTCCACCATCCAGGTCTCCTGGATAAATATAATATCAAAAATGAGTAATAATTTCATGGTGTCCTCATAGGAAACCTTGGAAGACCAGCCTGCCACGTTCTAGTTTAACATTCTTGTGGAAGGAGATAGTGAAGCTGAGGACTGGGTAATTTGGTCAACACTAAGGTTTACAGAATGAATAATGATGGTGGGTTCCAGGGGAACAGGATGACTTCCTGCTGTCTTTCTAGACAAGGCACATGTGGATAATTCTTTTGTGAGGGTATTTCACAGGAAGAATTTTTAGCTGTGCAGGAATTAGTCTCCCTCATAGGGTTAGGTTTCCAATTTTAACAAATTGTTGTTAGTGTTCTTCTCTACAAGAATGATATGAACTGAACTGCCCATACCATCACTAGCCGGGTTCTTAGAAATCAGCTTCAAGTTCAGATTTTCTTTAAGATTCTCTAGCCTGTCAGTGATATTAAACTGTTCCACTTTTGGCAAGACACAAAAAGACTGCATAAGGTTGGAGTCTGCTGTATCCAATGCCTCATGAGAACATAAGAGAAGCCACCAAGAATACAGAGCATCACTTGCCCCAGAGTCCCTATCTATACCTTGTGGCTAATAGCCACTGATGGATCTCTGCTCCATATGTTTATCTAATTCCCTCTTGAAGCCATCCATGCTTGTAGCCGCCACCTCCTGTGGCAGTGAATTCCATATGTTAATCACTCTCTGGGTGAAGAAGTAGCCTCATCCTTTAATAAGTTTGAAAATGTGGAAGAGTTTCTTAGGGTCACAGGCAGTTCCTTATTATTGATGCCTGAATTCCTAGTTGTTGGGATCAAGCTTGAACATGAATAATTTTTTTATTTGGGAAAGATCAATTAAAGGATGTGTATGATGCCTAGGGATGATTTTATTCCCCCTAGTTGGTCGTGGGAGATTTGCCACAGTATGGTTTCATGGGGAAGAGTGGTGTTGGTGCAGAAAAACAGAAACATGTCTAAGGGTAATTCCTTGTGAAGTGAACCATCACTGTTTGTTTATAATCAAATCAGGAACATGGGAATAGAATGTAAGTTTAATCTGGTTTTCTTTAATAGGCCAGGAAGGAGCTCACAAAATTTCAGATCGACATCTCTTGGAGAACAATCAAGGAGATAACCCAAATGCTCCTTATTGTGCCATTCCCTGTCCAGTTATTCTCCCTCGAAAGGGGCATGTGAACAGTGATGTTTTACAACATTCTAGCATCAGAGATGTTCTTGTACGCTTCCTAGGTGGTATTTTGTGGCCTCTTTATAAATTGTTTTAGGTACAGGAACTGGTTCCATATATAACCTGAGATAAAGTATTACCCCCACACACACACTTGATAGAAAGGGCTAGGCACAAGGCATTGATTTTATCATAAATCTTTCCTAGAGTATCAGCAGTCAGAAAAGTCCGAGAGGCTAGAATTTAAAGGGTATCCTTCTCAGGACACAAGTACTTTTTCTCAGTGAGTAGGTCAGGAGAGGGCAACATGGAATTATGTTTATGCAGTATAGGATGGGAAGTAAGCAGTGGAACAGAAGAATTATCTTGCAATTCATTTGCCTCTGAGAAAAAAAGAGTTATCTTGTAGAGGCGAAAAATGATTACTAGTTTTAATATTATAGTCAAAGAAGGTTTCCAGGTTTGTTTGTTGGCTGGAAGCGTACAAAAGTCAGAGAGACCATTTCTTTCCCTCGACATAATTAAACAAAGAGAGATCCAGCAGATGGTTAAAATAAAACTCATTAAGTACAAGTTTTTAAAGTTGCTTCCCCCCCCCTTCAGCACAAGGAAAGAAGGAGAAACTAAATTACAATTAGCACAAAAGGAGATGTTATTTAATCACTAGAAGGCAAAGGCAGATTGACTAGAAGTTAAGTAGAACAAAATTTTACTCCAGTGGCACCTTTAAGACCAACAAAGCTAAGTAGTTAATTGATAATTAAGTTGGATAATAGCCTGCCCAAGGGTTGTTAATTAGTACGACCAGCACAAAACTGGTTTAACAAATTAGATAAATAATTCTAAAACGTAAAATGAAAAGCATGGAGCACACAGCTCATATAAAACACACACAAACAAACAAACCCACACATGCACACTCAAATGAGCAAGAGGCATACACTTCTCTCCTCTCACAGCCAAAAACAGCACTAAGTCCCTTAAAGGAGGAAAATGGTAGAGAATAAAGATTGCGAGAGAGAAGGTGACAAAAAGGAGAGTAGTCAGCGTGAGAAACCCTTTGGACTGTTTTTAGAGCCACTCCTACCACGGCCATCCCCCCCCCACAGGGGAGGGGCGAGGGAGACTTCAATACTGAACCTACAAAATAAAGACAAAAGGAAAAAACGAGCCAGAAGAAAAGCTCAGTAAAATGGAGCAAAAGTAAAATACTAGAGCTAAGATAAAGGGACTTAAAATAAATAGATAAAAGCTAAGATACTACAAGATAAACAATAAAAGCCCTAGAGACGGAACACTGCCTCATAACGTCCTGCAACAATGCTTCGGAACCGGAACTCTCCCCCGACTTGTTTCTAGATAGTGGTCCAATCTGGATGTTTATGAAGCTGAATGTATTTATTTATTTATTTATTGGATTTCTAACCCGCCCTCCCGCCGTTTACAGTTTATGACTTTTATAAGTTTTATACAGTAATCACTTTTCTCCTTTATTGTCGTAAATGTTGAAAGGTTTTTTTCTCTCCTTTCTCCTCTTCCCCCTATCTGATTTCTACACTATCTTAAGCTGAAATAAATTCAGTCCAGACAAATGAGCTTCCTGAGGAAAATGACAGAAGAGCAGAACCACAGTCTCTAGATGACCTCACTGCCAAAGTAGAAAGTTTTATACAGTAATCACTTTTCTCCTTTATTGTCGTAAATGTTGAAAGGTTTTTTTCTCTCCTTTCTCCTCTTCCCCCTATCTGATTTCTACACTATCTTAAGCTGAAATAAATTCAGTCCAGACAAATGAGCTTCCTGAGGAAAATGACAGAAGAGCAGAACCACAGTCTCTAGATGACCTCACTGCCAAAGTAGAAAGGTTTGTTTGGGGTTTTTTTTCTTTTGTTGTTGTTGCAGATTTCATTGCTTTTCTATAAAATGTTGAATTTGGCAAACATTTCATGCAACATGGGTACATTTGTAGAAATATAATTGCAGGAAAAATTGTCATACAATTAAAACAGTAATTCTGTTAATTTCCTTTTTTTAAAAACTGCTAATAAAAAAGTATGGGTATTTACAAGTGGCACCTGATACTTTTCAGGTCTCTTGGCACCAGTTCTTCTTGCCCTAGTTCAAGGGCATGTTTGTCATCAGCACTGGGCATGAGAAAGAATTAAGGGGAAGGGGAAGATGAGACTTAGTGGCAGCACTCGGTATTGGAATGGACCTTAGTCATCTAACATTTTGAGAGCACCTGAATTGTATAATGTACTGCGTATAACAAAAATTAAAGAAATTCCTGTCTAAGGCATGAGGTAGGAAGGGAAGAAGGCATAAGGAAACTGCTCCTTATGGTACTGTACAGAGAGTAAGATGGGAATGAAAGCTTAATTTTAAAAGGTTATAAAGAAAGGGCACTCTACATATAAGCAGAAGGAAGCAAAAAGTGGAAAGAGATGGTACTTGTCAAAGAAGCTTAGCTTGTTTGTGGGAAATAAGCAAAGAGGGCAAGGAGGAAGTAAAGTTGCAAGTTGGGATATTAAGATCTTTTTTTTTTAAAGACTGTTTTTATGAGAAGAAGCCTCATTACAAAGGAAGGCAGCCAGTGTTGGGAGGAGGGAAACAAGGGCAAAAGAGGGCAAAACAAAAGCAAGCATAACAAAATCAACTCACTGGCAGAGAAGAAAGGACAGCCAAAAAATGGTTTGCCGTCTGAATTGTTCAGCTCAGCGCAGGCATGGAACTACCAGGCAATTAAGTCCCCTGCTATCCATCAAGCCAATTTTTATATTTTGTCTTGAGACCTCATTGCTCTGGCAGACCTTTCATAGCTTTCAGTAGACTCCTGTTGTGTACCCTGCTGCCTGCTGCTAGCAAACTATTCCTCAGCTCTGCTCTACCATCAAATCAAGTCTTCTGCATATATTCGTGTTCTGACTCTCTGTATTAGATGGCAGTCTTTTGGGGCAAAGTACATATCACTTCTCTGTTTTCTACACTGGCAGAAATCAAGAATGAACAAACTCATCTTCTGCTATTAAAAACATCATTAGTATGTTCTGCCCAAAATTGAGAGTAGCCTGCCTGTGCATGAAAGGTGGGTTATAAATCGAAAACAATAAATAAATAAATAATAACATGATTTTCTTTAATAGAATTTGCTTTATGTTTCTGGAAGGCCAAGTGTAAACACTCTTTTATGTGACATTTCTTGGTATACATTTCTTCCTTAGTTTACGTATATATATATTTTTTTTCAGAGTTACAAAAAAACTTGAACAAAGACAAGAAGAGAAAAAGAAAGAAGAAGCACAGGTAGAAGGTTAACTTCAGTTTCCGCCTCAGAGTTTTTTCATGAACAAGAATCCTATTTAAAACAAACTTAAAATTAGTCTGCAACATATCTATATTTTACTGCAGCCAGCAGGTTGTATTCCAGAAAGCCCTTCATGGGCTGGGGTGTGCACAAAAATAAAAAAAATTGTATTTTTCGGGTTCGAGTATAGCAAACCTGAAAAATATCAGTTTTTCCTGATACTCCAAAATCCCACTATTGGTATGATATTGGGATTCAGGAAATAATCAGGGTTGCCAAATGTATTTGGCTCCATTATATCTTATGGGGACCGTCCCCATAGAGTATAATGGAGAATCAATCCCCAAACCGTGCCATGCACCGGTGAACTCCGAGCAGCTGGCAAGCTCACCCACTTCCGGGTGAGCTCGCTGGCTGTTCAAAGTTCACTGGTGCACGGCTTGACTTTACAAAAGCCATTTAAAGCCACTTCCAGGTGAGCTTGCCAGCCGCTCAAAGTTCACTGGTGTGTGGTAGGGCTTGCAAAAACCATTTAAAGGGACGTTCCCTTTAAATGGCTTTTGCAAAGACTCCAAAGTGGCCGGTGAGCTCACCCAGAAGTGGCTAACTTCCGGGTGAGCTTGCCGCTTCAGTATGGGTCTAGCTACAGCTATTTGGTAGCCAATCAAATGCCCTAATCTGAATTCACCTTAATATCGGTATTTTGGGGGTATCTATTCGGCTCATTTTTTACCAAGTGTGCACCCCAAGCTGGGACCTGCTTATCTGTGGGTCTGCCTCTCCCAGTATGCTCCACTGCAACAACTTCACTTATATGAGCAGAGCCTTTTGAAGGTGCCCACAGTACAAATCGGTAAGATCGATGGTTGCCCGTCCCCAAGGGTTTTCTGAGGTCATACAACCTCCTGATGTGATTGTGGTGGATGACATTTCACCTTACGAATCTAAGAATTTTCCACATTGCTTTGTGAATGTTTGTTTACACTCTGAATTCTCAGGGGTTAAACTCAAACTGCCCTTACAGGTAGTCTGCTCAAAGAGAGAGAGAGAGAGATAAGCCTCCCCCTTGCCACGTTCTGCTTCTAAACTCCAAACTACAGAATTTGGTGAAGTAGCCATTTTTACAGTAATGACTGCAGCCCAAGAGGACAAAGGGAGAGCCACAACATCTCAGCAGTGGGGACCTCCTAAATCTTACGTTATTGTTTCTAGTGTTTTCCTTTCTCTACCCAGCGAGGTAGTAAATCTTATTTATGAAACTGAATGAGTGATAAAGCTGGTGAGCTGAACTCTGTGTTGAGGTCTAGCATCTTAAGGTCTGGGCTAGCAGAGCACCAAGGACCTGCAATGTCATTTTGCTATAGAGTTCAGGAAAGTTCCCATGTGAATGCAGTTCCACAGAATGTGTAGAATGGAACTTCTTGGGAGGGAATTTCTCTGAACTGGATACTGGTGTTTTTTTTATGACTTGTTGAAAGTGTAATGTTTTTATTATATAGAAAAACATTATTCTGCCTTGACTCTTTATGAGAAAGATGAACTGGAAATGAAGTAATAAAAACAAATCCTGCCACTCTGCAGTGCATTCTTCTGGTAGAAAAACCTCTCACTCTCTGAGGAATGCACCACTGTGAGTGGAAGGATGCAACCCAGTGTTTGTTTAATGCCTAGGAAAGGTGTGTTTTTTATTTAGAAAGACATCAAGAAAGAAGTTGAAAGAAGAAAAACTGGAAAAGATATGTTGGAATACAAAAGAAAACAGGAAGAAGAACGGACAAAACGAATTTTGGAAGAAAAGAACAGGGAAAAGGCTGAAGACAGAGCTGCTAGGGAACGTATCAAACAGCAGATTGCATTGGTAAGATTTTCATTGTGGATCAGGCGCAATGTAGTAAATCCTTGAAAGGATCACTAATGTACTAGGACAAACTAATCCTAAATGCACTTCCTCAAAAATAGGTGGCTGGATCTTTGTGTGTAGTTTTATTTGCTTGTTCTCATAATGAGTTGTGATTTCGGTGACTTTGCAGCTGACATCCATATGGCTGGGGGGTTGTGTGTGAATGGCTCAGCACAATAATACATGAGGCATTATTTCAGCAGTTTTCAAAAATCATCTGCAAAACATATTGGCCCACATTTTGCATCTGTCCCTCCCCCAGATGTCAGCATAAGATCACCTTGTGATAGCCAAAAAAGTGGTGAATCTTTCAGAGTGTGCACTCACATGGGACAGAAAACAGCGTTTACAAGAGGTGAAAGCATGAGAACTAATTGTCCCGCTCACTATGCAAAGGTTCATGAATTAAAAAATGTAAACTACATTAAACGGAATTTTGAATTACTGTTGTGCATAAAAAAAATTGGTGGTAATTTTTGTCCCTGATCATTCTCATCCGTGAAAATTATTATGTAACTTCGCCCCAACAGAGCCATCATAATCTGTACCCTAATATATTTGTATTTTTATGAAGGATCGTGCTGAAAGAGCCTCTCGTTATGCAAAGGCTCAGGAAGAAGCAGAAGCTGCAAAAGCTGCTGCTCTCCAAGTACAACAGGCTGAAATGGAAGCCAAGAAGGAAGCACTGCAGATAGAGAGAAGGTGAATTGTTTTTATACCTATCCAGTCCCACAAAGCCTCCCTAGTTCTGCCCTAGGACTGTATTTGCTGTCTACCAGCAGTTAATCCTTGCCATCTCATACTCACTTTTCCTTTATCAGACCATATCAACTACATTCTCTTTTGTCTCCTCAGCCATCTGTTAGTTTTCTTGGCAGAGAATATATTTGTTCTGTACGTTGTAGCCTTGCACATTACAAAAGCTATGCAGTTCTGAGATAATCTGACTCTTACTTTCAATGAATGCATTGTAACATACCTAATATTTGAATTTAGGATTTTAAAGAATTGTGCAGTCCACTGATGTTTCTTAAAAATACCATCGTTATCCTTAACCTGAAATATCTTCCCTAGTACTATAGCGAGAATTCAGTTCCGCCTCCCAGATGGATCATCCATTACTAATAACTTCCCTGTAGACGCTCACTTGGAAGAGGCTCGACAGTTTGCTGCCCAGGTAAATGAGCACTGGAGTAAAGATGGTACGATGTACTTAATAGAGCAAGCTGGTAGCCTCTAGAATAGAGAGGTGTTTATCATTGTATCTAATAAATTAGTTAAACTGTCTGCCTTTGCTGTGTGGATGATGAGGTAGGTTGCAATCCTGTGAGGTAGGTTGCAGCAGTACTCTCGGGTGGTTTCCATGTGTCCCCCGCACCCCTCCACAATTTTTCACATGCCCCCTGGTATACGTTCATCTGTTAGGAACCAATCTTTAGTCTTGCTCACTAGGAAAGAGATTAGCCAGATATAGGTAAGATATAGATATTTTAATAAATATTAACTGTAACCCATTCATAGAGAACGTGCTGGTATCTGCTACTGAGAATGTCAGTTTAAATGAAATTATACCAGTTGTACAGCTTTGGTGTTGGCCTGGCGACAAGTTGGGATTCTCCGGTGTCCCCCAAGTGCTCCAGATGAGCCTAAAGTGACAGTTCCCGTGTTTTATTTTGGGTAATATGCAGACTCCAAAAACAGAGAAAGATGGCAGGCAGGTGGTAATCAGTAGTAGTCAGATGTATGTTAAGTGCCTTTTCCCATTTAAAACCACTTAAATTAAATTGTGGGATTACATTGGAAAGTCTGGGGTTTCCCCATTTCCGTGTGTCTAAATATTTAACTAGGTTGTTGTGTCATTACAGACAGTTGGCAACACGTATGGTAATTTCTCATTGGCGACAATGTTCCCCAGGAGGGAATTTACCAAAGATGATTATGGCAAAAAATTATCGGACTTAGAACTTGCCCCAAGCGCTTCAGTAGTATTGTTGCCGGTAAGTGTATCTCATTCATAAAGAGCGGAAGTACTAAAGCATTTTAAATTGTACAATGGATAGATCGCTGGTGCAGGAAGAGCTCTAAGAACAAACTCCTGCCTGCACATAGGTACTGAGTTTCTGCTACAGTCTGTGTCCATTCTGCAGTTCTTAAAGTGATTGTCAATATTTTTTTTAATCCTCATAAATAGGCAGGAAAATCAACTACAGCAGTTGTGCAGGCTTCTGGTGGAGATTTTTGGAAATTTCTTGGCACAGTTCTTTACCCGTTGATAGCGGTCTGGCGATTTATTAGCAACTTCTTGTTTAGCAACCCTCCTCCTTCCCAGACTTCAGAAAGACCTCATCAGCAGGACCACTCAAATCCTTCATCTAGCACTACAGAGTCAAGCAGGTACCAGTGCATTTACTAGCATGCTAATGTTTAGTAGGGACTTCAGACCTCTCCCCGGCTGGGATGGGGTTAAGCTGCCATTGAAAAGCCAAGTTCGCAGCTTGGGAGTACTACCTACACAGCAGTTGCCTTGGAAAACCAGGCAGCCCCAGTGAAGTGCTTTTGCCCAGCTTCAGCTGATGTATTAGCTGTGTCTACAGTGATCCATGCCTTAGTCAGGGCCAGCAGTCAGGAGTAAGGATGGGCATGAACTGGAAAAATGGAGGTTCATCCCTGTCCAAACCACAAACCTTCCCGTTTACCGAACCAGTTCATTTCATGAGGTTCATAGCATGGTACAACGCACGCAGGGGGGTCCCCCCCCGGCGCGTTGGAGACACCAAACTTGCAGCACGTCTCCAGCTGACTCTCCTCATCAAATGTCTGCGTCTTACCTTCTGAAAACACCACAGTACAAGTGAAAGTGTCCTATGGAGGTCCTAAAACTGCCTTTCATGGACAATATAATCTTTAACTGTTAGAAAGATGGATCTCTCTGTCTGACACTTTTTACATTTTCTTAACCAAATCTCCTTTTACCTGTGATTAAAACCTGATGTAATTGCCTTTTATGGGGTTACAGGAGGAATCCAGAAAATATGTATCTCTTTAGGCTATCTGAATTGGTGTAGGCTAGTATGTGTTCACTTCTGTCCTTTAAAGTTTATGCCACATTGAAAAGCATAGACAATGTGATTAAAATTTGCCCAGTTACTTTTCCAGTACAACCACCGTGAATTCTACAGTGGAGGGATAGCATGGAAGAATAGCTGAATGAATGGTACTTCGATGCACTACTGTAGGACGTTGTTCTCAGAAGGCCTTTCTTTCTTATTTAGGCAAGTTGTCAGGAAACGAGTACTGGAAAAGCGGGGTGAAGAATTCAAAAAAGAAGGCAAAATCTATAGACTGAGAACTCAAGATGATGGTGAAGATGATAACAATACTTGGAATGGAAATTCAACTCAACAAATGTAGTTTTACAAGTAAACAGTGCATAGTAATCATTGAGGTTTTCTTTTCCCCTTATTTGATTTAATTCCGTTAAACCTTCTGCTGCGCAAGTGGGCTTCTCTGGTGTGCTGCCTGAGCTCTACCTTATTCCTACCATGGCACATGCAAGGTGTTAATCCAAGAGTAAAGCTGGATACGTGAATGTAACTACTGCCAAAGGCTCAAAGAATGTAAAGAATCCTAATCTTCCATTTGCTTTCAGAATTTCATACTTAAAAGCCCTATTGTCATTTCATATGCACTTTTTTCCCCCTCTCTCGATCTTGGAAAAAAACAGAATCCCCGACTTTAAGAGGTGAGATTGACTAGCAGAAGCCATAACAACTAGCATATTGGATAACTTATTTTTTCTTTAGTGCTTCTGCAACTGCAAGCAAATTCTAATAGGTTTTTAATCTCTAAGCATTCAATAAAAGTTTTTCCAATAAAGTCTAAGATCTTTATTTAGAAAAAGTCCTTCAGTACGTTTCCTGGCTCCTGCCATCTTTACATTATCACATCTGTGTACTTACTCTAAATTGTAGCTTTTGAAGCAGAAAGGAATATGGGACGTATCAACTGATGCCTCACCCATGACAAGGAGCCCATAATGACCATGAATTTACAAACAAGGCAGTAAATGATAAGTAAGAATGGGAGTCCACTGTGGAATCTGGAAGACTGGTTGCAGCTTGTACGAACAGTTGTAATGAGCAGCCAACTTTCCTTCTTCTGTCTTTCCTGTTCTAGGGCACTGGTGGTAGAGTGGGTTGTTGAACAAGATCATCTCCATTCTCTCACCTCTAATTCAGAGGCAGCAAGTTGTCAGGAACTATAACCCTGATTCACAGCTCAGTTTTGATTGCCCTTGGCCTGCCGCTGTACTTAGAAGCCGTTAAACTTGGCAGCCATAAGCAAAGTTTATCTTTATTTACATAATACATCTACAGGGCCTAGCTAGACTTCAAGCAGATATCCATATGGTTAGTGCAGAGGTCACTCCTGTTAGTCAACAGCAAGCAGTTTCCTAATTCAGCCACACTCTAAATTATATTTTCTGTTTCAAGCCCTGGGCACAAAGTACTAGCACATGATTCTGGCATCTTGTTTGTGTTCTTTTCATTGCGTGCAATTTTTGTTAAATTTGAGATATGTTGTTTGAGTTAGCATAAAGTGCTCCAGTAACTCCTGATCCCCATGTTCATAGAATAGCCATCTCGTGCTAATTGAGGAAATGTTCTAAGAAGTGTACATCAGCAGCCGTTTTAGAAACTGTGAATCCAGAATCAGTTTAAAATGGATACATAATACAGTTTACATTTTACTTAACTCTAAGGCAGTTCTTTTGTGGACTTTTTTGGTCATCCTTCTATATGCATATGAAAAAAGAACAAGCCCTACTGTAGCTATTAGCAGGAGGCCAAACAGCACATAAAGGGCTACTTTTGCATCAGATAAGGCCAACTCCAATCCCAAGAAGTTCACCTTCTCTGCTGTTGCAGTATACGTAGGTGTAGAAGGGGTGCCTGCTGTTGCCGTATGTGCAGGCATAGAGGTGGCGGTGCCTGCAAGAGGAATGTTAGTTAACATGAAAACACTTATCATTGTAAGCAAACTACTGCATTAGAGCATTTGGAAAGGAAACATGTTTGTACTAGTGACTTTCAAGCAGTGGGTTCTCTTAAGTGCAAAGGAAAAAAAAGTCTTCTCATTACTACCTTCTGTTTCTCAGCCTATTCAAGAGCCCTAAATGATCATGTTAGACAGAGTTAACACACAATGCCACCTTGACACACTTAGTTCTGTGCTGTAGCAATACTTGATATTGCTCTGGTGAAAGAAGGGGATGTACATACTACCTCACTTACTAGGCTAAGAGCAAGGAGCTTTTGAAGCCACATTACTTTCTTGAGAAGTCCACTTCCCACTGTGAAAATAGTGGCATCAATCTATGTTAAAAAGTTTTATGCAAGTCTGTATAAAATAAAGTAATGCAAGGGTGCGTTTGTGTTCTTATATAACTGCTTCAGCGGGAAATGGCTTAAAACACCTAAACTATTGCACTTTGTGTCTTTTAAATCTGTACAAATCCTGCAGCTGATGAGGAGACAGCTTTTGTTAAAAAAAAATAGTACCAGTAGCTCTCTTTTCTATCTCCTTATGCAAAAAATTACCTAAGGTTTTGCAAACTCAGCCAAAGAGCTGAATTTAGTTAATAGGCCCCCACACATGCAGAATCAAAAAAGTTGGTAAGGAGAATCAGAATCAAGCCTGAGCTTTTGCTTGTTTTAAACATTCCAGGGGTGCGATCACACACACAATTAGCCACGCCATAGGTGCGAATGCCGGGCGGATTTAAAGGGTGCGATCAGACATGAACATCTGGGAAGCACCCCACACCCATCAGCAACCCATTTTGCTCTGCCGCAGAAGTGGAGTAAAAAGACACCAGGGAAAGTCCGGTAGCAAACGGGTTGCTACAGGCCACAGACGGACTTTCCCCTGTCTGATCGCTGCAGCACGCTCTCATGGTGTTGGAATGATCTGATCAGGCCATCCTGACTCCATGCCGTTGGTTTTTCCCCCCGTCCTCAGTATGCGCATCATCGCACACTCCATAGGGAGCCCTCGATGCTGAGATGCGATTCATCGATTCCCCGTTTAAGCGCATCGGGAACAAACGGCAACCCCCCCTGACTCCCGCAGTCGCGTCTGATCACGCAGTGGTGGGCTGCCTCCTCAGCTTCAAAGGACTGTGTGATCGGACAACTGCGGGTCAAATTGCTCCAGGGGAAATAGCCTTGCTTCCCTTCCCCCCCCCCCCCCCTTCTCTTCCGCCTGGCATGTGACCACCACCCAGGATATCACTACAACAGTACAGCAGTTTAATGCAATTTGTAAGAGCAAAGTATTTGTCCTGTAAGGTCTTGTGTATTCATTTTCATATTGCATGCACGAGCACAGACACCCTTTCACCACATAGCTGCTTTGTTGATCGTTTCTATCTAGTTACCTTCTGTTTCTCAGCCATACTATTCAAGAGCCCTAAATGATCATGTTAGGCAAAGATAACACACAATGCAACAAGCCCCTCTAGCCTCTTATGACAATATTGCTGTGGGTAAATATCTGAACTCGAAGAATAGCTCCACACAAAATCATACAGGTGGAGGCTGTTAAAACCTCAAGGGAGCAAGGCTCAAATGAGTAAGTTTTGTGACCACTCATGCCACCATCTCTTCTGCAATCAAATCATTAATATCATAAGACAATTATTTCCATATAAGGAGTTTGAACAAGCTAGCTCAGTGTACTGCATGCATGATTAACAGTTACAGCTTCAAAAGCATTTAGATGCTCTTTACTATCATTAATCCATACTGGTAATTTACCTTCAGGTTGTAACTCCAGGCACAAATGAGGCCCAGTGGCTGGATCTGGAAAGCCATTACACTGAATGACAGATGTATAAAATTTTGAAGACTCCTTTGGAATCCTGGGTAAAGCTGGGTGTGTGTAGTTGGTATAATGCAACCCGAACCTTTCTGCAAAGCCCACTGCCCACTCAAAATTGTCCATCAAGCACCATACGGTATAGCCTCGCAAATCCACACCATCAAGCAAAGCCCCTGTACAGGCACACAAAATGGAAAAGATTCACAGTGCAGGTTTGTGAGTGTACAGTCCCATAATAGCTGGTGGTGGTATAGATCTTATAACAATTGTTACGGAGTAAAGCTGGAGACTCCAACATAACATCACAGGTTTGAATACACATGGTCATCCTTTAAAAACGTTAACCCTTTTTTTGTACTAAATCTATGGTCAGGAAGAAGAAGAGTATGTTTTTATACCCCACTTTTCTCTACCTTAAGTTTCAAAGCAGCTTATGATCACCTTTACCTTCCTCTCACAACAGACACCCTGTGAGCAGCGTTCCCTCTAAGCTGAGTTAGTGTGAGCTACCTCACAGTTTTTTAGCCTCTGGCTCACACATTTTTGTCTTAGCTCAGGAAGGATGGCCCCAGAGCAAATTAATTTATGCAGTAGCCAAATCGCTCGCTCACAACTTTGAATGCCAGTAGCCCACAAAGTAGAATTTTTGCTCACAAGACTCCATGGCTTAGAGGGACCATTGCTTGTGAGGTAGGTGGGGCTGAGAGAGTTCTGAGAGAAACTGTGACTAGCCCAAGGTCACCCAGCAGACTTCACATGGAGGAATGGGGAATCAAACCCAGTCTGCCACTCTTAACCATTTTTGGAGGAGGGTGGGATAGAAATTAAATAAAGAAATACAGCATAATGTATTGGAGAGGGCGGTTCTCTCATGCAGAAAGAATTTATGCATTAGTGAATATGATCATGGAGCCTGAATATGGCAGTTTTCCAGTATAAGAGTGGTCTGTATATCTGTCCACACATTCTGAAGGAGGGTGGGATAGAAATTAAATAAAGAAATACAGCATAATGGATTGGGGAGGGCGGTTCTCTCATGCAGAAAGAGTTTATGCATTAGTGAATATGATCCTGGAGCCTGAATATGGCAGTTTTTCCAGAGTAAGAGTGGTCTGTATATCTGTCCACACATTCTGAAGATTTAAGGGCATTTCCTTCGAAGCTGGTGGCAATTAGCACTGATTTCTGCCCCCTCCTCCTGTAGCCTCCAACTTTGCACTTTATGCTGCTCCTAAAGGTCTTCTGACCTTCACAAACAAAATTTTAGAGGGCCGCAATGAGGAAGGGATTGGCAGAAATCACCATAGCCTTCTAAGAAAACATAAATGCTTTGGATATGTAAAAATTAGCACTTTTGACCTGTGCTTATACTGTGTTCCAAATCTACAGGCCAGCCATGCGTCTCTGGAGGACACAGTACCTGAGTTCCCAGTATCACTACAAAAGGTTGTGTTCCCTCACACAAACACTGGGGCTGTACATTCAGTCATCACAATAAACTGTGGCTAATAGATCAGTAAGGTTGTAATCATGGTTTGTTGCAACATCTGAATTCACAAACCAGAGTTATAAATTATCAATCCTGTGCATCCACCTGACCACAGAGACAGCAGTGTTGGGAGGATGTCCTTCCTGCTGGAAGATGGAAAAGAGACAAGAAACTAACCAGAAGTAGGGGTGTGCATTTTTTGTTTGTTTGTTTTGATTTGGGTCTATTGGACCCCC